GAGAGAGAGAGCATCACTATAGGGCACTAGAGAAGAAGAGGATAGGCTGCTATTGTTGGTGGATTCCTCATGAAGATCTGCTGCTGTCACACATTCACGACCAAACACCAACACTACTGTCTGTCTATCAATCCACCTCTCTTTAATAATTACATTTTAAATAATTGTTTTATTTAAATATTTTATATGATTTCTAATTAGTTTTTTTTATATTTTGATTTATTTATATTTTAATCATTTTCTCATTAGTTTAACTTATTATATTATATTATTATTATATTCTAAATTAACAAGTACATTTTTTTTTTCTAAATTATTACTGAATCCTTTCAGTCCTTGATTTACTATTTAAATAAATATTTTATTGTTTTCTACTTATTTTTAATTTCCTTAATTTATCATGAATTCTTTTAGCTATGCATGTATGCTTTTATTTATTTTATACATTTATTTAAATTGTAGTCACACAAAAGCCCTGTGTCAGGTATTTTTTAGTTCTGGCAACACTGACTGACCTGTGAGGGAATGACATTCATGACTCCAGGCACAAAACAGCTGTTTATTTATCAAACATGGACTGATAGATCAGCAAGAAACTGCATGAAGCTCAGATGTAGATGATGATATGATGGAGAACAGCTCAGCTCAACTGGATTCGTCCAGCTGATGTGAATTTCAGAGAAGCAGAACAACTGACTGCTAGAAACCCAAACAACAGACCACAGGAAGCTGACCCTATTGATGAGGTCAAAGGTCACGCTGTGAGATCGGAACCAAAGCAGAATAGAGAATGCAGAGTATAAACAAACTGTCTATGTATCTATCTATCTATCTATCTGTCTGTTTTAATTTTTTTTTAGCAATAGTGATCTTTATTTTTTAGTGATAATTCTGAGCGGTTTTAATTTTTTTAGTCATAGTTTTGAATGATTTTTATTTTTCAGAGATAGTTATGAGCATTTTTTAACAATAGTTCTGAGTGATTTTTATTTATATATTTTTTGATAGTTCCGAGCAATTCTTATTTCTTAAACAATAGTTCTGAGTATTTTTTTCAGCGATAGTTCTGAGCAATTCTTATTTTTTGCGATAGCTCTGAGCGATTTTTATTGTTTGCGATAGTTCAGGGTGATTTTTATTTTGTGCGATAGTTCCTAGTAATTTTTATTGTTTGCAATAGCTCTGATCGATTTAAATTTTTTTGTGATCATTCTGAGCAATTTGTATTTTTTGCGATAGCTCTGAGCGATTTAAATTTTTTGTGATCGTTCTGAGCGATTTTAATTTTTTGCGATAGCTCGGAGCGATTTTTATTTTTTGCGATTGTTCGGAGCGATTTTTATTTTTTGCGATAGCTCTGAGCGATTTTTATTTTTTGCGATAGCTCTGAGCGATTTAAATTTTTTGCGTTAGCTCTGAGTGATTTAAATTTTTTGCGTTAGCTCTGAGCGATTTTTATTTTTTGCGATAGC